CCCTCCGTGTCCCCTCCCGCAGCCGCCGTGACCTACTCGAAGCCGCGCCTGGCCACGTTCTGGCGCTATGCCAAGGTGGAGCTGGTCCCGCCGACCCCCGCCGAGATCCCCCGCGCCATCGACGGCATGAAGGGGCTGGTCCGGGCCTTCCAGAGCGGCCGCCTGGCCCAGCTCACCGTCAAGGTACCGCCGGGGCCGGGGAGCCCCAGCCAGAGCCTCTTAGCTGCCCTGGTATCGGCCTAGGAAGCAGTGCGGCCGTTGTCAATGACACCTGAAGCTGAAGGAATTCAGGGGCCGAGAGTTTAAAGTGTTTTATTTTGTCGGCTTTGCCTTAACTCTTCCTTGCCCGGACCAGGCTGTGCTTGCCCTCCTCGGGCCCCCAGTTGTCTCTCCCAGAGAAGGGAGTATCCGTAGGCAGCTGGATCAGCTGTGTCATTGGTTGGCTTTGAAATTAATGTGCTTCCCATGTGTATGGGCTCTGATTCTTGAAAGGGCTGTGAAAACCCACAAACGACAGTTGACGCTGTGCTGGGTGTTGTAGAAGATTTCTGTGGCCTGGTGTGTTGAGGGGTGGCTGAACACAGCAAACATTCTGCTCCATTCCTGGGTTTTTGCCTTGAGAACTCCTGAAGTCCCAGCCCTGCTGGAGGGCATGGGTGTGGCTGTGGGAGCAAGGGAGGAGCTGTTGTGGGAGTCTGGGATCTGACCAGTGCCTGTTTGCTTTCAGGAAGCGCTGAGGAACGGCCTAGTGGCCACAGAGGTGGTGATGTGGTTTTACATCGGGGAGATCATCGGCAAGCGCGGCATCATCGGGTACGATGTGTGAACACCCACCTGGCCGGTGCCATCAGCGTTGCGGCGCCGGGTCTGTCACGGGGTCTGCCACAATAAAGCCAGAAGCCCATGTTGAGCGGTCGTGGTCCATGTCTGGCACCCTGAGGGCCAGTCCCAAGGGCACCAGAGCTGCCTTAGTGACACCACTGTTGCTCACCACAGCTCTGCTCACTCTGGGGCACCCACTGTGCCCCGGCCGTGACGCTGGGGGAGGCCTGAGACCTCAAATTCAAATGGAGAGTGCAAAAGAAAATGTTCCATTTTTTCCTGAATGTACTCCCCATCAGCTAGCGGGAACCAAGGAGAAATGCCTGTGCTTTTTAGCTATCAAAAGCAATCTCCGTGGCTTATTCCAGAGGGAGTGTAGCATGGTTACAGGGGGCTCTGCTGGTCTGGGATCTGACTGGTGGAGTGGAAGCCTGTGAAGGTAAGCAGAGCTTTGCTGCATGTGTCACCTCAGCTCCCCACCAGCCGGAGGTTGAGCTGCCCAGGGTTTCACTACCTTGCTCATTGTCAGCCAGCTCTTGTAGAGGTCTGTACAAATCCTGGTGAGTCACCTGCACTATAACACATTTCAGAAAGTAATTTGTAGTTCTCTGAAGCCAGCAGATGGTTTGGATGGGACCTCACTGATTTTATTGTCTTGGGAGATGGTTTCTAGTCACTATTGCTCCTTGTTGATGCTATCATCTCAGCTGCTCCTTGGCTCCTCTAGGCCTTTTGTTGTGCACACCAGTGACCCTGATGTCTCTAGGGTGACTGTGCCAGGAGCATGTCATTTACTGCTCTCCCTACAGCAGAACTGACCTTCTCAGCACTTCATTCCAGCAGGAAGAAGCCTTGTGCCCTGCTGAGAGGGAGTGCAGGTGATCTGACATTCTTTAGGTGACCAGGAGGTTGGTGTAGAATCAATGAATGGAAAGCTTTAGCTTTGTTTTTGGTTTGGTTTTTTGGTGTTTTTTTTTTGTTAAAAAGAAGGGTTACTGTCCCAGCTCTGAGTCATAACCAGTTATAGGTCATCTCCGTGCCGTAGATGGGAAAACTGAGGCTCAATGAACTCCCCAGGCTTCCACAAGGGAGCCTGCAACAGCAGCAGCAACAGGACCTGCGCTTCCAGCCCCCTGCCCAGCCTGGATTCTGCGCTCCCTTCTCCCACCAGCCTGGCCAGGGCACCACAACTGCCTGGCACGGCCCGACAGCAGCAGCCCTGGAGGGGTCTTTATACCTACTGGGTGTCCTGCCTCTGCCAGGGACAAACAGCCTCCCTCCCGTCCTCGGTCCCTCCCTGCCCTCATCTGACGGACTTCCAAGGAAAATGGGTATTTTATGTCCCCAAGCAGAGGGTTTTACACCCGATCCGTGCGTTTGCAGCGCTGTTTTCAGGGAATACAGCGGGCAGTTGCTGGATGTTACCCCTGTTCGCGCATTGCTGTACAGGAGGGGCTGCCAGCCCGGTGCCATCGCCGTCAACTCCCTCCCGGGGGTGGCACCCGGCGGGACGCGGCACCGGCCGGGCGCGGGGCTGCAGGTAGGGCAT